AAAAATGTCATCTGGACAGACTTCCTCTGACCGCCTTAACAAAATAGAGAGCAGTCTCTCAGCTTGTCACCTGGAAGGTCTCGGGGTGCAAGTGCTTTTCTTCCTGTCCTCTCTCCTTCCTGGGCTTATTCCTAGCTCTTGCTGCCCTGTGCCTAGGCAGGGAGCTGCATCCACAGGCGATTCTCCTCCTCATGTCCATCCCAGTCTTATCCCTCCATGATGTGACTGACCCCATCCTGATTTTCCCCTCCATTCTGGACAGCAGGGAAGAGCTGGGAATCCTGCAGCCTGGCACATGAATGGGCTTCACAGGATGACAGGCTTTGCAAAGATCCTCCTGGGGCAATGGACACTTGGCTACCAGATGGGGATCATAGAATCCTTAAGGTTGGAAGGGACCTTTAGAGATCATCTAGTCCAACCCCACTGCACACGCAGGGTCACCTGGAGCATGCGGCACAGGATTGTGTCCAAGCCAGTTTTGAAGATCTCCAAAGAAGGAGACTCCACAACCTCTCTGGGCAGCCAGTTCCAGTGCTCTGTCACCCTCACTATTAAGAATTTTTTCCTTAAGCTGCAGAACTTTTGGTGCTTCAATTTGTGGCCATTTCCTCTAGTCCTATTGCTGGCCACCACTGAAAAGAGGCTGGCCCATCCTCCTCACTCCTCACTATACACACTGATCAGGTCCCCCTTCAGCCTTCTCTTCTTCAGGCTGAACAGGCCCAGCTTTCTTAGCCTTTCCTCATAGGGCAGATGTTCCAGGCCCCTGATCATCCTCATGGTCCTGTGCTGGACTATCCCCACATCCCTCTTGTACTGGGGAGCCCAGAACTGGACACTCCAGTCTCCAGATGTGGCCTCACCAGGGCTGTGTATAGGAGACCAATCACCTCCCTCAACCTGCCGGAAACACTCTTCTTAATGCACCCCAGGATCCCATTGGCCTTCTTGGCCATGAGGACACGCTGCTGCCTCATAGTCGACTTGTCATCGACGATGATGCTCAGGTCCCTCTCTACAGAGCGGCTCTGTAGAAGGTCAGTAACTCTCCTTGCTCAGCTCCCTCCAGCACTTTCCCTTTTGTCCCCTACCAGTCCTCAAGTGCCCACCTCCTCCTGTTCACTGCCAAAAAAAGGAATTTCAGCACCACTGCTTCAGTCTGCCCTGGAGTTCTTTGTCCGCTACCTTACCCTTCTGCCAGAGTGACTAGTTATGCAAGTTTGCTGTCAATGGTACTTCACTGCGGTGTTTCTGCCCTTCTGACTCTATGTAGGTGAGGGAGTAGCTGGAAATAGAAACTTACTTCATTAAAACTTACAGCAGACCACAGACAATGTGGGTTAGTGGGCACTAGTGTCCTTGGGTGTCTTTGTGCTGAGTTCCAATTTTCAGTAGCTTTGGGGCCTTGCTCGGCGTCTCTACGTTTCTAATCATCTTGTGGTAATTATGGATGATTGAGAAAAAGAGAGATTTCAGTCATATTTGTTATCTGTGGATCACAACGTTGTGTTTTCTGCCAGCACTCTCTCTTCTTGAAAGGCCAAGGCTCTGGCAGTATTCCTGCTCCAAATCTGCTCATTTCAGAAATTACCCTGTGTAATGAATATTTTCAGTATATTTTCATACAGCATATAAGTAGCAAAAAAGCCATAAACCTGCTCTGCCCTTTGGCTATTCTTGGGCATGTTGGGAACTAGCTTGCTGATTTTTCCCATCAGTTATGAAAGTTATGGAATAGGTTGCTTGAATTCCCACCACTTTCTTACATTCAAAATCATGTTATAGGGGAAAAAAAAAGGATAATTATTATACATAAAACAATATTTACCATTAGCATTTTTAGAATATTAACAGTTTTATTCAAGAATAATTATTAATCTGATTGCAATAACAAGACTTATAGTTCAAATTATGTGCAGTTAAAATTAATATAAACAGCCTTTTCTCTGGTGTTATGCCACTGCCCTGGTGGGTCCTCAGATCAAAGTTTTTTGGGGGCAGGGAAGGTATAGCCAGTTGCCTCACCATGTATTAACTCCTTTGTTTTTCTATTCTAAAACCTTAAATGGATCATTCTGGGTAAAATAACTACTCCTTATTAATATCTATTAGTCACAGAAGCACACATATATAACAATACATAACTGCTATACCATACACTTACATAATGCCAAAGTAAATTTTAAACAAATTAGGTAATAGTCACCTGATGGGGAATTACTGTTACCAGTAAACAAACTAAGACAAAGCCCCAGGCAGGTCAAGACAGGTCCAAGCAAAACCTGCCAGGGCCTGAGACCTGAGGTCTGCATTGTTAGCTTCATACAAAGCAGGTTGTGTGCTACAAGCAAAGGCAACAGCGTCTTTGCTGAGCTTAGGGCTGAGCTTAGGGCTGAGCCTCCTCCTCCTCCTCCTCTGCATGCTGACTGAGCAAGAGCTACCGGATTACACCTGCCTGGAGGGTACAAGTCCATCTGTCTGTCCTGCTGGGCAAGGTGTCTGGCGCGGGGAGGAGGACAAGGAGAAGTGGAGCTGGGAGTGTCCCCCTCCCGTGTGAACAGCAACAAGCAGGTGGGAGGGATAAAATCTTTGCTTGCAGGAGGGAGAGTGGGAAGCTGAGAAAAGGATCTGGTGCAGAGAGGAAATGCATAGAGCAGGCTTGATAAGGAAAATCCGTGGTTTTCCTACCTGCAAGAAGAGCAGGGCTAGCAGAGTAGAATTTGGGGGACAAGGAAGAGAGGGATAAGAATGGTCTGTGTAATAAATAGCAGAGCACAGCATGGATGTAGGTGGGGAGAACACTGTCTGTTGCTCTTTTGTGCTAAGTGTAGTGCCTGCCTCTACTTCAACACCGTCTCTGGCAAGTTCTGCAGTGGAAAATCACAGCAAGATGTCGATAAACTAGGAGCTGTTGCCTGATGAAGCAAATCTGGCAGGCAGGTCCTGAATGCTGATCCTGCCATTGGCAGGAAAGCCCCTGTGGGGTTGGCAGGCACTCTTCATTGCCATAGCTCTGTCTTCCCAGGGCCATTGCACAGGGATCCTGTCTCCTGCTGTGCCTGCAACCCCTCCAACCTTTTCTTTGTACACGAGATCGTACTGGAAATGTAGCCCAGGGGATTACTGATACCTGTGACAGTACATGTTGCTGAGCTCCAGTTCTCCCCTGTGTTTCTATTGGACTGTGCTGTGGGATCATTCTCCCACAGGACATGAGAAAAACTGGAATTCTCACATCCCACTTTGGAATGGTGCATATGTTCATGAAAGTACCAGGATTATGAAGGCAGGAAAAAAGGAGCTTCCGTCCCAAAATGAGGTTTTCTGTTCCATAAAAGGTAATGTAGCTGCTATGAGGGAAACTCTTGATCTTCAAATCTCTCCCAGAAACCACATGGGTGGTATCTTCTCCTCCTACTATGCAATAATTGTATATGTGTGTCTCCATCTACTGCAAAATGGTTTACAAGAGAGGGAACAATATTTACTTTTGTACCTGACCCAGATAACTGTGCATCTGGGACCTCTGTTTCTTCCACATTTCTTGGTATAAATTTTGAGTCACTCCACTAAAATCAAATAGATCAGTTTGCAACTAGTAAAATTGATGCAATTCCAGGGAATTCAAAAAATACATAGCTCAAGATCTCATCTCACTGACCTCTTTTATCACAATGTTTCCTGTTTTTTTTCTGAAAACCTGGTCTTTGACCACCCTTAATAGTAGGAGTAATGACATTTAGGAGACCGACCGTATATCAATGATGTACTCTGCTGCTGACTTTCAGGAAGGCAAGAAAGTGGCACTGTCTGATAGGGTGCCCTATGAATTAGGCTGTGTGCATGCTAGAAATCTGTGCCACAGCACCATCCAAACAGATGGGAGTGAGTGCATGAAGGAGCCAGGAAGATGATGTAGCACATGTGCATCTCTTGTACTTGTAGATGGCAGGAATCCCAAAGAGAGCTGTTCATACACATATCTATCCAGAAATTATGTGTGTTTAGTTGAAAAAATGCTGTCAACCAGTGAGTGTGAGATTTAACATGAGCTTTTTACAGGGAAGACAGAGTAGAAAGGGGGCTTTGAGACCAGCTTGTTGTTTTCCTTTGGCCTATGAAAGGAGAGACAGTGCTCCGCTCTCTCTTACACGTGTCCCAGACTGCTGAAGCTGCAGTCACTCTCCACAGATGGCACCCAGGGAGGTTGTGTGAGCCTCCACCTCGTTAACTCTTCCCTGAGATTCCTGATGGAGTGTGTTGATGCTCTTGTGAAAAGCATAGCTGCAAGGGAGAAAGGGCAACGGTACTGCTGATAAGGCAAGTCTGTTAGAAGCAGTTATCAGCCAGCCCTTGTGCTACCCTAAACTCCTCCCGCATACCACCATGTGCTGAGGAGGCAACCTGGCTTCAGGGTGCTCTCTACTAACTCTCAATGACTGTAGAAGGATTGCACTTGAAATATCTACAGTTTGTTAGACTATTATTACATATTTTCCAAAATTTTCAGCCCACAATAGTTCAGAACTTGTGTAATAGCCGTCAGTAATACCTCACCAGCTCATTCTCCTTCTGACCAGTGATGGATCCATGTGTGAGGTCAATTACTCACACAGGCTATCTAAGGATATCTAATGGACAATGCTTGATCGAAAGTTTTCAAGTTAAGCAGATTGAATCATCCAGCTCCGTTTTGAGCTTAAAGAAATTTTCAGGCAGGAAGATTTGCTGCTAGAACTAATGCTAAAAATGACAGAATATTTCTTGTGAAGAAAAGAGATCTGTATCTCTCTTTAAGATAGTTTTTCATGTTGCCCATGTTAACTGTCTTAGAAGCTGCAGTCTTCCATGTCCCAGTATTGTTGAGGCAATTTTTTTTGTATCCTCTTAAGCTAGTGTCTTGGTCAATATCAACTCTGACAAGAGCATGGAATGTAAAGTTTGGTAAAGAAAAGCTTCACACTAAACTCACACAAATAGAAATCATTTACATCAGCATTTTCACATTTTTTAATCAGAATTCATACATAACTTCATCTAATGTTTAGCAGGGTTAACTATTTTTCCTATGAAGAGTGTGCTGTTTGTAGCTCTATCAAAAATCAGTAGGATGAAGGGACGGTTGAATTCAATGATTTGAGGAAAATAAAAGGGCATTATTCCAGCAAAAGATACTGCTGCCTCAGCAAATGTTACTTCTGCTGTTTCAGTACCTTCCTCATCGACTTCCAGTGCAGTCTTATGGACAACCTGGGAAGAAAGAAAACACCCAAAGTAATTCAGCCTTAGTAGACACAGAATAGGCACCTGAGAGATGAGCCAGATGTTTGCTTTTAAACTAGCCCTGCTTTAAGGCACCTATTGCAGGAGAGCGGGTAGGGGCAGTGGAGTGAGATGAGTTTTGTTGTTTGCACTTGCTGCTGCCTCAGATGAGAACTCGGATAAATCTACCCAAATCTCCTCAGCAAAAAAAGTTTCAAAGGTTTGTCCTGTGTCCCAGGGCTTAGATGGAGGACAGAGGCACTGCTTATCTCTTGATAATGGATGAAACCCATCATTGTAAGGTGGCAAAATATTTTTGAAATGTTTGAGGGCTAGTTATGCTGTCTGAGACAAATAAGTAGAGAACAACATGCATTTTGCATTGAGTTAAAGGTCCTCTTGCAGCTGAGAAAAGGAGTTACCTGAAGAGGAAGAAAGGAGATGATTTGGACAAATACCAATAAACTGGCACTAAAAATGATGCTCCATTTTTTTTTTCCAAGAATGCTAAAACAGGTTAAGAAAAGAAAAAGATTCTCTTTTTCCAGATTTTGTCCAATATTCTTGAGATTCTGTCTTTTCTACTTGCTGCTCTTCTCACTCTCTTGGTTGCTTTTCCTCCTGTTTCTCAGATACGCTCCACAGGATCATTGGCTGGTGACATTCTTGGAAAAAAAGATGCACAGCAAACTAATCTGAACTTGGTGCTCACTGAGAGCTGGATTCCTTGTGGCAGCAGATTCAGAGACTGACACCAGGGTGAATCTGGTGCCCAGCAGCAGCAGTTCTTGAAGCCAGAAGCTGTTTTTGCCCAGTGTTACCAAACACCTGCCATGGATGAGTTCATGCTATGTGTCTGTGAGAGGACAGGAGTGGGCCTGGGAATGCAGACATACCTTAGAAACTTTGAGCCCTGGAGTGCCAGTGATGCCAGACAGATCTGCCTGGTTGGTGAACACGTCAATAATTCCCATCTTGTTCAGGGTATGCTTTATGTCATAGTTTGCAGAGAGAGAAAATTTGGGGAAGTACAGGCTTATTGATCTGTTTTAAAGGAAAGAAGCACATACCATGTTAAGAAAGGTCTTTCATCAGGATAAATGATAATGGGGAAAACTGTGTAATTCTTATGACTGCTAAACCCCAGGAGAGTCCTGAACGTAGAGTAAGCATTAATCCAATTGCTAGTGCTTCTCATAGAGATACAGCCATTATTTATCATCATAATAGCAATATTTATCTGGCATTTTGCTTGGCAAATCTTGAAGCACTGGCAGAAGACAGTATCATGGGCATAAAGCGCAAAGTACAGTTGCATTTTGTCAACTACTGCATGAGTTTCTTTACCCATACAAGTACTTGGAATAACCCTAAGCTAATAGGTCTGTTTTGCCCAGCTCCAGAGATCAAACTGTATTTTCGGAGCTGCTGCTCACATCTCTTGCCTGTCCATATTTCTCTTCATGCACTGTCTGGGGATTCTAGCAGTCTAACAGTCTCCTGCTGTTAGGTAACTCAAGTCTTCTGTTGTCTCTCTTTGAGATAATTTGGGCTGAACAGCAGGAGTGGACAGGATCCAAAGCTACTGCCCAGATCCAAACCTTTATCCAATGCTGCCCAGTGCGTTAGAAGATAACAGGACTAGGTTTATTAACATTGCCAGCACCATAACACTAGAATTGAAATTGCTATTTGATTCTCACAGTTTCTCACACAGAGTTCTTATTTCTATGTTGATCTTAACTGAACTAGCACCAAAGATTAATTTAGATTAAGATTTTCCTGATTTTGCATCTGAGAATTGTATGTTTTTATTTTTCATATTTGAGGTATCATAGTTTTAGTTCCTATCTAATTTTCTACACAGCATGCCTTTATTATCTGTAGCAGCATTTCTGTAATGATGCATCAAGAATCGTGGATGCTCATCACACGGATGTATTACTATGAATCAGGGAAAAGCTTGGTAAATTAGGGATATATTGGCTTGACATTTTTCGTCTACTGGTGCTAAGATCTCCCTCCTCCCAGACAAGTAAGGTCAAAAAATGTGTTAGCTGATGTCAGTGCCAATGGTTACAATGATCAGAACTTCATTACACCTTTATAGTTTCAAAAAATGCTAGAAAACCTGGAAATCCCCAATTAATCACTAGCCTGTCCTAATAACCACTGTGTACTGCTGACCTTGAAATGAAGATATTTGGTTAGGACGTATTACATATGTGTGCAAAACTTTTTAAGTTATGTTTTTTTAGGGTTTAGACATATGTCTGAGTAATGGTGTGTCAGTGACAAATGTGAGGTAAAACACAGCTGAAACCTCAGTACTGGAGATTTACTTCAAAATTGCCACCTTCCTACTCATTCAATGGACTATTTTAGAAACCCCAATACAGCTTTGCTACTCTGTGGTCCCCAGAGCCCATCAGAAGGTCTCTGCTCTGGCAAAAGGAGCAAAAAGTCACTCCAACCTTTGCATCGACAACAGAATGGTCAAATACCAGCCAGTCCCAAGATTTTTACAGCTATGGAACACTAGCCAAAAATAACCTGTTCTGTTCCCAGAATCCAGGTGAGTGAGCAGTGTTTGCATTCCAGGAAAAAAAAAAAAAAAAAAAAGAAAGACAAAAAAAAAAAAGGAAAAAAGGTTATGTGTCTCGGTGCCACTGCAGCAGGTTGGCAGATTACCTCTGGGAGAGATTCTCTGACCATTTAAGGACAGTTTCCTTGTCCAGAGTTTGTTCTAGATTCTTCATTTTTCCCTTTTCTGGTAGAACTAGAAATACTGTAGCACTCCCATTGTAATGAAGCCGTACTATGGTGCAAGGAATAGTCTCATCAAAATAGAAGTCAAATCTGTTTGTTTGGTGCATCATAGGGATTTTCACAGTTGTTTCTTCATCCACGAAAAACTCTCTTTCTTCAGTGAGCTCTGGCTGAAAGGGCGTTTGCCACTTGCCTGATAGAGACAAGAATGCAGCTGAACATCTCATGACCCATCTCATTATAAACATAATTTTATATAAGCAATATTTACCTATTTTTTGTTACCTATTTAACTATCACTGGTTAAATTCAAAATTTTCAAACTTACTTACTTTACTAAGTGTAACTGTGTCACATCTACTAAGAAGGTAGGAAGATGAGAAAATAATCTTACCTGATCAAAAGAATGTGTTAGATACCAATTTGACTTTGTTTTTTGGATTTTAGTAGTGAAAAATATTAAGCATTTTATTTATACTTTTTACCATTATTAAGATGATCTAAGTGGCCTATCTTTAAATCATTTAAATCATTTTACTTGACATTAATTGTACACTCATATAACTAGATTCCTATTGATTTTAATATTAAACCTCAATCTGAGGATAAAATTAACCTATAATCTCATACGTCAGTTCTATTACGTTAGTGTTAACAGCACACATAATCCATGTGAAAAATTCAGTGCTTCCACTTTGTGCCTTGAAACACACCTCCCTTCCCATCATTAGCATCTTCTTTGTGCAGATATGATACTGTGTATACATTTCAGAGTGCTCTTTTAAAGAGAGGTATTAATAGGACTAGGCCATCAATTCATTCCAGTGTCTGCACTGAAAATTAAAAGAATTTGGAGTAACTAGGCTAAATTCTGAAAAGCAAGCTGAGGCTGCTTGGGAGGGTTCTTCTTGGAGCTGCTCTGCTCTGGCTGCCTCCTGGGTCTGGGAGGGTCCCTGCCTGCCCTCCTGCCCCCTGGCGATCTGCTGCTCTGCCATGCCAAGGGTGGAAAGCTGGGTGCTGTACATGCTCCTGCCCTAGAACATCTGAAATTCTCCCCAGAGTAACTTCCAAGGATTAAAAATGTGAACAAGAGCACTGGATGATTTGATTTACCTTTGAAGAAAGTGAAGCTTGCCAGAAGCATTACAGTTTGTGGATCTATATCCTTGACCAAACAGGTAATTTTCCCATTTGTTTTCCTCTCTACATAATTATTGATTTGCTCCTCAGCCTCTGCAGGATTGCTGAAGTCAACAGACAAGGCATCCATTTGATACAGAGCTTTGACATCATCTAAAAACTTTTTTAATGGTTTATGCATCTTGGGTAGAAATATCATACTGCTCATGTCAAGGTAGACCTCACTCTCAGGATGGCTCAGCATATGGATGAGATGGTGAAAGCCTTCGTGTATTTCCTTCTCATGCATCTCTGTAAGGTTAAAGGCGAGTCCTTCCAGGATCTGAGTCTGAGTGGACGACTTGGCACCAAAGGCCAGCATTGCAAAGACATTGGAGATGCTTACAGGAGAGAAGAAAATGTTCTTATTAGGTGTCTCCAGGTTAATCTCTTTAAAAAATTGAAATGCAAAGTCAGCATTGTTTGGCACTAGTTTGAGGCAACTCATAACTTCACCTTTGTGAAGTGTGCTGTGCTGGGATTCATTTGGATCATGTCTATCGTGCTTGGAAGTGAGCTGAATAGGAGACACAGCATGAAGCCCAACCAGTAGCAAACATGTGCAAAATATGATCTTCATCTTCTTTTATTACAAGACTCTGGGGAAAAAAAAAGAGAATTTATTACTAAGGTAAACAAATCAAATAAGAATATATATTCTGTCATTCCTACTGAATAAGAGATTTTGTGAAACTTTTAGTTGTGCTCAGTTTCTGCATTCCACAGCTTTTGCCAGAGAGGGTTGTATTTCTCCAGGCCTGCCAGCAAATCTCCTCCAGCTGTCTCTGCAAGCCTCACACCAAACATCTGCATGGGAGCAAAATTTGGTGTAGAATAGCTGAACACAGAGCACCCTCAGCAGGCCAGAGAACAGGGAGGACATCCCATCAGAAAACACACCGCTTGTTAGATTGGTTAACCACTGGAGAGCTGCTATGTCACCCTGCTTTTGATGCTAACGATCTAAGATAATTCCCTCAAAGACCATCATAGAAAAAAGTTTGAGAGTACTGTTTGAAAGTAATGGAAGAGAGATCAAATTCATGCAGGGGAGCAGCAATCACTGAGTAGATCCAAGCTGAATTTATGATGAGCTCTCAAATAAACTTTTGGTCAGACTGACAAGTCACTCTATTTCAAAATAGGTTTGACTGCTTTTTAGTAGCACGCCAAATATAATGCCTTATGTCTCTAAGCACTGATACTCTTTCTTTCTGAAAACAAATGATGCAACACTAAGAACCTTGAATAATATGTTGTTCCTTAGTAGATAAATCAAACCACTGGGAACAGGTTTGTTTTGAATGCTGCGAAAGCAGTTGATGTCAATAACAAAAACAAGGTCCTATTTTAATCAGATGCTCTACTGGTCAAAGGGCAATGCTCTTATCCTACCCTATTGCTCTTGGCTGCAGTACCTGCATTCCTCTTCAGAGCGGACACTACATAAGCTTTTATGCAGGGAGTTTGGAAATGTAAGGTGGAGGTGAATGTCCCAGTGGGCCTTGTTTCTGGGTCATACAAATGATGAGAGATTTGTAAAGTGCTTTGGGAGATAATGATTCATATGTGCTAAAAATTGTACAAGAAGGGCTATATTAAACCAGTATCTTTCTGTTCTCTATTATTCAACTTGAAAGATTGCCATCAGGAAGAACTATGACCATGGTCCTGTTCTTCCCATAACATCAGAGTGAGAAATTTGTATTAGTAATTTGAATAAACAGTTAAAAATGGGCCTGCATAAGAACAACAAAAAACTTTTGAGCTATAGTCAAATATCAAAACATTCACATGACTGATGTAAGTAGTTCTAAAAGGCAGGCCTACCCACATTTAGGCTGCCCTGTTATTCACTAGTGGAAGGACTGTTAGCATTCTTAGTTAACTACATTTTCAGTCCCTACGCACAGTAGTTTTGAATTATAATTTTGCCTGCTCTGATTCTGACATGGAAATTATATTTCTTGACATACCTAGCCACTTGTAGCTCAACATAAGACCTCCAGTTCTGAATATCTTAAACCAGCTATCAGTGAGGTAATGTATTAGTCAGACTTTGTAAAGAAATCAGCTCCCAAACAAAAGCATCAGAGCTAAGCTTAATCTATTTCCTGGTATCCAGCAGGCCGATTCAGAAGCTGCCGTTGGATAAATTGTTCACTGTGAAATGTTTACTCAGCTGTGGTCATAATTTATTAAGAATAACATGAATACTGGAGAAAGAAATATTTCATTTTAAACAGAAGTCACCACTTGTTCCCCATCTCATCGCATTTAATGCTTATAACAAAACACAGCATATAGAAGGCATTTTCTATTACACAGAGAACTGCCAATTTCTGTTTATTTGGAATGCAGAGTAGACATGAAATTTAACTGACCTGGTTTCACAATTGTAACTAAGGAATAAGGCATAGTTTGCAGTAGAAGCTTTGCTAAAGTATTTGATATACTCTTTCTGTTTTTTTAAATTATTATTATCTTTGTATTTTTGCTCTATGTAGTTATGACATATTTGTGTTTTGTGTTTGATTTATGTACTTTCATGGAATTAATTTCTCTTTAGCATAGCTCTGAATTCACAGATAATTAAATGCAATCTGAGTCTTAATCATCCATCTGTTACTCAGTGCTGTCCAATCACTAATCAAAACTCATGAGTCAACCCTCACAAAAATCTTGATCATAGTTGATTTAAAAATCCTGAGATTATAAAAGACTCAGCAGCTGCAGTTTCCAGAGATCTGTTTTTGCTGACCTAAAGATCTTAAGTCTTGAAAATGCAGGTGGGTCACTCTTTTATACTTCTCCTTAGAACATAAAGTTTATAATAGGATATAATAAAATTTGTATCCTTGAAACTTTTAGGGTAAGACTGGGAGCTGTTGCTTTATATTTGATATTTACTGTTTTACTTAATAATTCTGTCACTGTTAGGTTAACAGAGGATCAACCAGTGTTAAATTAACAACAGAGACCACTTCAGTATGAAGCACAAGACACAGATTCTCCTCTGGTCTTCATGACTGAGGGATTTTCACACCAGACACAACTGCTAAAAATTTATTAAAAAGCAAATAGCAGAGAACTGTGCTAAAAAATGCTTTAGCAATTCCTTGTCTGAAGAGGCTGATTTTGGAGATAGTTTCCTATCTTAAGACCTTTACTCACACAACCTTCGTGAGGAATTTTCTGAGAGGCAATCTGTCCGATTACCCGTAAACACAGGAGTTGAAGCAAAGTGCTCTTGCATTTTATTTCTACACTGACACACTGAGTAGTCTGGAAGGAAGCCAGTCCAGCTCTCTGCCTCATTTTCTCTCTCTGTTGAAGTTATGCAAGACAAACAGATTTGTAGTATTCAAGAAAGGGCTCCTTTCATGAAGAGCTTTCAATCAAACCAGACAATATAAGAACATGCCAAGACCTGGAGGACAGTTATGGTCAAAGCAATTTAAATATAGTGGATCTGGTGATAACATTTGCTGAATTTATTATATCTTCCCTACCATACAATCCAGAATGACAGTACATATTTATGACAGTATATCCTGGAAAGAAAACAGAGAAAATTTGGATTAGCTGGAGTTACCTTAAAATAATTCCAGCAGATGACCAGGAATGGGCCTGGACTACATTTTTTTGACCGACAGAATTTGCTTCTTTGTGGATATAACAAAAGTTGTAAACCTTAGGCTTGGCTTTTATCTTTATGATTTGGAATGACACTTCAGAAGGCAGTTTTCAGCCTCCAGATTTGGATGTAGTGTTGGAGCATTTGGAAGTGAATATTTATGCCATATTACCTTAAGGGATCCCTACCTTTAACTCCTATTAGATAACATGGAAACTGCTCTGCTCAAAACCATATGCAGGCGTGAGGGAGCGAGGCCATGTGTAAGTGTGCACGCGTGCTCGCCAGAGGGTGCTGCTCCCTCTCGATTGTGTCCAGATGAAGAAAACTGAAGAGTTTTTCTTCATTACCTGAAAGCTGCACTCCGTGAGCACAGAGGGCACATCAATACACGGCCCCAGTGCTGACAGAAGTGTTTGCTCAACTAGACACAGCTACTCGTGGCCATACCAAAACAATAAATAAATAAAAATAAAAAGGAAAAGAGAAACTTGAATCCCCGCATCTGTGTTTGAGAAAGCAATACTGTACTGAAAGCTCAGACTTTTTGAAGGAGCACCATAAGTAAATAAATAAATAAATAAATGCACATGTGTTTCCTGACTGGCCTGAAAGCAATCTAGGTGATTCATTTTATGCGCCTGGACATACTCAGGGGCTTTTCCAGTCTCATTAGCTAGGTATTTACTTCTCTACTTCTTCTGTGAGTCAGAGTTTTGATGTGCCTGAGTCCTCTGAGAAAATGGTAAGCACAAGTCAAGGGCCATGGGTTCAGGAAAGATCCTGACAGCTATGCCTGTTTCATTAAAAGTAATTCCTTGAGCAGCAGAAACATGGAAGCCAAGGTTACAGGGTCCTGTAGAAGTGTGTGTGATTATATGGGTGACTTGTATTTCCATGCACGGAATAAGCTTTTTTGTCAAATCATGTGAAACTCCTAGGCACTTAAGATCTTTGATTTATTGAAGTTTTTGGCAAAGTTCCTTGAGTGTAGTCAATAAATCCCAAACGTCGTGGTAGAAGGGAAGAGGGTGTGTGACAGACAAACACTGGCAAGCCACACAGATGGCATGGTTGCGTGACTGTTTCCTTAGAAATCAGGGCTAAACGGAGAGCTCTTGCCAGTATCATGGGGCCTTTTGCAAGAAAGCTTAGTGTGGGAAGGGCTCACCTGGGCAGTGCACCCTCCAATGGTGCCAGTGCAATGGTTAGAGCTGCCGTTTGGGACTATGTAAAGCAGAAGCAGCTCCAAAGCCAAAGCGGAGTTGCAGGTTTCTGATTTCCAATATATGCCTGACCACATTCCTGTCTCTGTGAACGTTTCATGATGGCTACATCGTGATCTGAGTTTTCCTGGGGGTGTAGAAGACACTGTTCTCTCTCCTTCCTCTTAGATGTCCTATAATCTGGTGTTTAGAGCAATGAGGGGGTGTCTTATGTAAAAGAGAAACAAATCTCACATATCCCATTCCCTAGGCAAATATATCTCCAGTAGGCCTTGAATATAAAAATCACCGAATTACTAAAAGAAAACCCATTGGAAAAAAAAAGCCCTAAGCACCCATCCTCTGGGTTTGAGCTGGAGCACAGCTGATCTTCTGTAGCCGGGATGGCCAGGAGGTCCATCCAAGAAAGACTCATTTTTAGGTGTGTAGGGTTTGCTGGCCTCGGACACCACCTTGTTTGTTTTCTGGGCAACTAGACACCTCACACTGGCCGCTAGATATTTACTTTTCCTGACAGTCACCTAATGTACAGGCACCTCCATGCTTAAGTTGTGATAGTGACAGTGTTTTACCCAGGTGGCCAAACAAACATGTTTATTCTTGGCATAACTGCTAAGACAGATCTCATTTTAAGACACCACCCTAGAAAAGACATGAAATCAATCGCATGCAACAAAAGGATATACTTTTCAAGTCTCTATAGGAAATAAAAAAAAAATCACTACTTACAACAGCT